TCTGACAAATAAATAAATAAAAATCTTAAGAAGAAATCCTAAACGTTTACAGATAGGATAAAATGGTATTATCTACAAAGAAACACGAATAAGAATAACATCAGATCTCTTACAGACAACATGGAATGTTAGAGCATATGCAATACTTCAAAGCAATGCTTCAAAGTTCTGAATCAAAACTAAATATGTACATAAAATTCCATATCCAAGCACACAATCAATCATGAGGGCAAAATAAAGACACTTGCAGACACGTTTATTCTCCATGTACTGGATATGAAAATATTGCTTGATAAAACATTTCAATAAATAGAAAAAGAAATTTAGGGACAAAAACATGAGATATAAGACAGTAAAAAAAATGAGATTAAGATTCAGGAAAAGATGACCATAAAATGGAAAAAAAAAGTATAAAATAAATTAAGGACAATCTATTAAAACTGATCTAAAGTATGGTTTCTTATTTCCAGTTCAATATCCCTTGCACTGATTTTGCAATCAGTCCTTACTGCATTTGGAGTTCTGTTTAATTTCAAGTTATGGTTTTATAGAAAAGAAAAAGAAATAATAAAATATAACTAAAAATACAAATGAAGCCTATAGATACATTGACATAGGAGGGCCATTTTTTCCGTAGACATTCTTTCCATGTTTGATTATATCTATACCTTCACTGACTCCTTTTCAATAACCCTTGTTTTATTTATTCCTACCTAAAATTAGCACATAAAAAAGGTGAAATTAATTTAAAAACATGAAAATTACTTACCTATATAGTAAAACATAAGGAATTATGAATGTGACTGATTTAGGAAGGAGAATTGTCTTGTAGAGATGCCTAATCCAAGACTTTCCAGCAAAATTCATCAAAGAGGAAATTATTGGTGCTCATTAAATCTAGTTTTTCTCTCCTCCCTCATGCCCCAGGAAGACCGCCCACCTCAGGTTGTTTGGAGAGGCCATGTGACTAGTTCTGGCCCATGGCTCTGGGTGGAGGTGATGTGCCTCACTCCCAGCCTGGAGAAGAGTATGAGTGCCCCACATTCTCTCCTCCCCTGTTCACGGCAAACCCAGAAGCCACCTGTTGCCATGGTAGCACCACAAGGAGGTGAAGCTTCCATCAGCTCGCACCTCTGAGAGATCGTGTGCGGAAGAGGGGCCTCCCCTTCTCATGGGAACAGCATTGAACATACAGTGCGAGTAAGAAATAAAAATTCCTTGTGTTAAGCCACTGTGGTTTCGGGGTTAATTTGCTACCACAGCATAATTTAGCCTCACCTGATAAGAGCTCCCTGTGCCTCACGAATCATTTGCAAAAGTCTTTGCTAAATTTCTTTAAGTTATGTTTAAATTTTTCCTGTGTAAACCGCCATATACCCAAGGTCGTTAGAGCCTTTTTTGAACACTTTCGTTGGAAAGTGGCTTTATTAGGAAAGACATTGATATTTCTATGGAGTACAAAAAACTAAGGAGAAATGAAATGTCTGACAACCAGAATACTTTTGCTCCCTGAGAAAGCTTATTCTTCCTCCTCCCTTCGCTCACTGTCCATAAACAATAAATGCAGAAGATTTTCTGAGAAAATGCCCCACTAATTTGTGGAATTAACCTCAAAAGACTTTGAGATTTTCAGCTAATAACCTCTCAGTTTTGGAATTGGATTCCAAAAGCTATATCTGTATTGTTGAACCAAAATTTAAGAAAACACAAATATTATTTAACCAGAAAAAACAATACCACAAATATTAACCTGTTCTCATGGTAATTTGGAAAGCTTGCAGTCTGTTTCAAACCTCAATATAAGTATTTTTTCAGCTAGCCAATTCTCTCTTTGTAACCCAGTTGTCCCCATTCCTGTTCACATTGGTGTATTTTGTGCAAAAAAAAATTATGAGCCTTCAGAAGAAAACATATGTGGTCATCTATTCCTTAACTGCCAACACACAGGATTTTAACATAGAGTTTATTTTAAACTAAGCCAAGAAATCCTTGGAGTCCAAGTTGTTTTTCCATTAGAGGTATGAAACTTGGCCCCACATGTTTCTGTTCTGGAAAAAGTCCATTGACGCTCTGAATCACCTGGTAACATAAATTAACATTAGGTAGGACTTAGAACATAACCCTCATAGGCACAGCAGGAAAAAGGAAATTGGAAAAATATAACCTTGTTTTTAGAATGTATTCACTTAAAACTTCACAATATTCATTGCCCAGTAGGAATATGTCAAAATAATTAGACAAGCATTCTGTACTTCAGAACTCTGTGAAGTGTTGGTGGGAATGTAAAATGGTACAGCTGTTGTGGAAAACAATTCAAAATTTAAAATAGAATTAACATATGACCCATCAATTCCACTTCTGCGTATTTACCCACAAGTATTGAAAGCAGGGTCTCAACGAGGTATTTATACATCTACGTTCACAGCAACATTATTCATGATGGCTAAAATGTGGAAGCAACCCAAGTGTCTATCAATAACAAATAAATGGTTAAGGAAAATGTGGTACACACACACACACACACACACACACACACACTGGAATATTAGTCAGCCCTTTAAAGGAAGGAAATTCTGACCTCTGCTACAGCATGAATGAGCCTTGAGGGCATTACACTAAGTGAAATAAGCCAGTCACAAAAAGAAAAATACTGTACAATTCAACTTATATTAAGTACTTACTAGTACTTCAAAATCATAAAGACAAAAAGTATAGTGGTGGTTACCAGGGGCAAAGGGGAGAGGAAAATAGAGAGTTATTGTTTAATGGGTGTAAAGTTTTAACTCTACAAGATGAAAAGAGTTATGGGGATGGATGGTGGTGATGGTTGCACAGTAACATGAATGTATTTAATATCACTGAATGTGAATGTATTTAATATTTAATAAAAATGGCTCAAATGGTAAATTTTATGGTATAGGTATTTTACCACACTTTTAAAAAGTGAAGAAAAATTCTGTGAAGAACCCAAAATAATCATGGGACCAGAAATGTAGGTACCTGTAAGTAAGAACTAAATATGAACTGTCTGCTCTCGAGGTTACTTAGCTAGTAAGTGTCAGAAATAAGATCAAACCCAGACCATCTGAGTTCAGAAACTGTCATTTTTACCACTATGCTGTCTCTGATTTTGTTCAGTGCAAGAATTGCTATAATGCTTAGCAAAACTCAGATTATCTAATTTGGTCATTGGCTGAGTATCATCTTCCATAAGAATTATCAAGTTTTATATTACAAGAGACCACAGAGTTCATCTTACCTAGTCTTTCCACCAATGCGGGGTTCCCTCATAACATACGTCTTTTCTGACAATAAGCCAGGCTCTTTCTAGATACCTTTGATAATAAGGAGGCCCCTAATCTGAGGATCAGAAGTGTTTTGCTAGAAAAAGTACTTGACAACTTTTAGAGATGGCAAAATCCACCAATTTTTGTCAATACCTTTCAGTAACCAGTTTGCAAACCATCAACAAAAAGTGTAAGTGTGAAAAGTATCACTTAAAATTCCTCAATGAAACATCAAATGTTTTGGTGATTAAAGTGTTCTTTACCATAGAAGGCAATGTGAGAGTATTATTGACCAGAGTCACACAATCTGTCTCATGAATAAATGCATATCTTAAGTACACCCATGTTGAAACAATTGGACTTTATGTGTTTGAAGACGTCTAAACAGCAAACGTATGCACCAAGACTCATTTTTTTTGTCAGTGAGTTGGACAACGAAACAATGGGTTTTAACAACTACAGAAGGAAAAGAGAGAGCAATACTCACCAAAAAGAATGGAGGTGACTAATGGATCATGGATAGTAATGTTTCAAAGACAGTTGAAATATAATTGGGAGTGGTTGAAAGTGCATACCAGGGGCAATAATGATTGTTATTATTATCATGGTTTGGCTCATAGAAAAATAATAGCACATTTAAGTGCTATTAATATTAATTTAATGATGCACTAATATTTTCTGAAAAATTACCAGACGTTCAGTAACAACCATAGAGTCACACACTCAAAAACTGTGTCCTTGATAGATAGCTGTGAAAGAATGCTTCCCTTGTTAGGGCACCTAGGTGGTTCAATGAGTTAAGCACCCAATTCTTGATTTTGGCTCAGGTCATGATCTTAGGGTCTTGAGATCAAGCCCTACCTCAGGCTCTACATTGGGCGTGGAGCCTGCTCAAGATTCTCTCTCTCCATCTCCCTCTGTCCCTCCACCTCTACTCATGCTCTCTCTCGAAAAAAAAAAAAAAAAGAAAAGAAAAGAAAATGAAATTGTTTCTCTTGCATTCTCCAGCAAGCTTAGAATTGTATTTTATCTTAAAAAAGAGTTAAATCAAACAAGAGATGGATATCCCAGTCAGGAACTAAGACATATAACAATTCTTTTTAAGTTATCTTATAAATATAAAATCAAAGGAATAATGAGAAGAATTACACACATATTCAAAGAACTCCAGTCTTGCCTAGATCATTAGTGATGAACTTTAAAGGCAAGAACATCTTAAGATTGTTTTACTTTTATATTCTAATAACTAAATATAAATATTTTATTTGAATCAGTAGTAAATTTAGATCAGTAAATGCCTCATTTCTAGAGCATTCAATTTGCATCTGGGCATCAAAACACATACTTGCTTATAAACAAATCCTTCACAAAATTATACTTCTATGGTACTTTGATAGTTATGGTATGTTCCTGACCCTGAGGGGATCAAAAGAGATCATTCTATATATAAATTGTTTTACTAAACAACCCTCTCACTGAAAAGTAATTACCACCAAGAATCCATTTTCAAGGGAAATACAGAGGAACAAACATAGTTTGTTATTTATTAATACTATTAGCTTCCCTCTGCATTAATTCTAGCCTAAGGATAAATATACCTAGTCTATTACAGTTTGATTCACAGATTAGAATGACAAAGTGGAGTACAGACCCTTCAGGTCATAAATATCACTAAAAGAAAGAATTAATTTTGAAGAATTTTCATTTACATACCAAAAAGCTGTGAGTGTCCTTGTTCCAGGTCTGCTGCCTCTGATCTGTACAAAAAAAAGACAAGAAAGGGGTCATAAGGTTTCTGTTTGGACCTCACTACCTAGAAGGAAGTTAGAATCTTACCACATCACCCCCAGAGAAGAGGCAATAGTAACTTGCCCATCATAAAAACTACCCAATGTCTCTCTTGGAAAATGAGACAGAAAGTTCTAACTCATAGGAAAGAAGACCTAGGTATAAACTAGCAGGAAATCATCAAGCTGAGATCCCTTGGAATTGAGTGTTTTCTAAACGATAGTGTGAAAATAAGATTCAAATCCCTTTGAACACTACTCAAGATATATTTTTACTTTACTTTTAAATATCTTGAAAGATGTTCACATGGATTTAGAACTTCCATCTGTTTTCCTGGAATTCTGTCAGTGGGAAAATGTTTCATATTAGTAATAATCATCCCACTCATTGCCTAAGCCACAAGTTTAAAAAATACAGATTTTTTGAGACTTCATTTTTTAAGAGCAGTTTTAGGTTTATAGTAAAATTGAGAGGAAGGTACAGAGATGTCTCCTATACCCCCTGCCCCCACATGTGCATAGCACCCCCCCATTATCAACATCACTCACCAGAATGGTATATTTTTTACCAAGGATGAACCTACACTGACACATCATAATTAGCTAAAGTCCATAATATACCTTACAGTTCACTGTTGGTGTTGTACATTCTACATTTATAGAAAAAATGTGCAGTGACATGTATCTATCATTATATCATATGATATAATATCATAGTATTTTCATTGCCCTAAAAGTCCTCAGTGCTCTGCATATTCATTTCTTCCACCCCAAGCAACCACTGAACTTTTTACTGTCTCCATAGTTTTGCCTTTTCCAGAATGTCATATGGTTGGAATCATACAGTATGTAGCCTTCTCAGATGGGCTTCTTTCACTTAGTAATATGCATTAAAATTTCCTTTATGTCTTGTCATAGCTTGGTAACATATTTCTTTTTAGCACTAATTAATATTCCATTGTCTGAATGTATCAATTTCTTTATCCATTCACCTACTGAAGCACATCTTGGTTGCTTCCAAGTTTTAGCAACTGTGAATAAGCTGCTATAAATATCCATGTGCAGATTTTTGTATGGACATAAGTTTTCAACTCCTTTGGGTTAATACCAAGAAGCATGATTGCTGAGCTAGCTATATGGTAAAATTATGTTTAGTTTTTTAAGAAACCACTATATTCCAAAGAAACTGTCTCGCAAAGTGGCTATTCCATTTTGCATTCCCATTAGCAATGTATGAGAGTTCCTGTTGCTCCGCAACCTCACTGGCATTTGGTGGTGTCAGTGTTCCAGATTTTGGTCATTCTAATAGGTGTGTAAGTGGTTATCACAATTCTGTTTTGGGATGCCTGGGTGGCTCAGTCATTAAGTGTCTGCCTTCGGCTCAAGTCATGATCCCAGGGTCCTGGGATCAGGCCCCACGACGGGCTCCCTGCTCTGCGGGAAGCCTGCTTCTCCCTCCCCCACTGCCCCTGCTTGTGTTCCCTCTCTCTCTCTGTGTCTCTCTCTGTCAAATAAATAAAAATCTTTTTTTAAAAATTCTGTTTTAATTTAATTTCCTTGATGATATATGGAGCATCCTTTTACATGATTATTTTGTATGCTTATTTGCCATCTGTAAATCTTCTTTGATGAAGTGTCTGTTAAGCTATTTAGTCCATTTTTTAATAAGGTTGTTTATCTTATTATTGAATTTTAGGAGTTCATTGTATATTTTGGATAACAGTCTTTTATCAGATATATCTTTTGCAAATACTTTCTCCCAGTCTGTAACTTGTCTTCTAATTCTTTGTATTGCCTTTGTAGAGAAGTTTTTAATTTTAATGAAATGAACATATTAATGTTTTCTTTCATGGATCACATCTTTGATGCTATATCTAAAACAGTATCACCATACTCAAGTTCATCTAAGCTTTCTCCTACAATATCTTCTAGGAGTTTTGTGTTTTCTATACAGGTCTATGATAGCTTTAAACATAATTTTCTCCATCACTTCCTTAAGTAGAGATAATCATTTTTGTGAAGGGTGTATGGTCTGTGTCTAGATTCATTTCTTTGCCTGTGGGTGTCCAGTTATTCCAGCACCATTTGTTGAAGAGACTATCTTTGCTTCAATGTATTGCCTTTGCTCCCTTGTCAAAGATCAATTGACCACATTTATGAGGGTCTATTTCTGGGCTCTCTATTCTGCTCCATTGATCTATTTGTTTATCTTTTTACCAATACCACACTGTCTTGATTACTGAAACTTAAAAGTCTTGAAATTGGGTAGTGTCAGTCCTCTAACTTTGTTTTTCTCCTTTAATTGTTTGGCTAGTCTGGGTTTTTTTCCCTCTCTATATAAACTTTAAAATATATTTGTCAATATCCAAAAACAATTGCTGATATTTTGATTGGGACTGAATTGAATCTATATGTCAATTTTGGAAGAATTGACATGTTGACAATATTGAGTCTTCCTATCCATGAACATGGACTATCTCTCTAGCTATTTAGTTCTTCTTTGATTTTATTCATCAGAAAATTTTGTAGTTTTCCTCATATAGATCTTGTATACATTTTGTTAGATTGATACCTAAGTATTTCATTTCTGGGGGACTAACGTAAATGATAATTGTGTTTTTTATTTCAAATTGCCCTTGCTTATTGTTGGATATAGGAAAACAACTGACTTTTGTATATTAACTTTGTGTCCTGCAACCTTGCTATAATCAGTTATTAGTTCCAGGAAGTTTTTTTTGTTTGTTTTTGGGGGTTTTTTTTGTCAGTATTACAGACTTTCTACATAGATGATCATGCCACCTAAGAACAAAGAGTTTTATGTCTTCCTCCCTATCTATATCTTTTTTATTTTCTTTTCTTGCTTTATTGCATTAGCTAGAACTTCTAGTATGATGTTGAAAAGTAGTGAGAAGAAACATCCTTGCCCTGTTCCTGATCTTAGTGGGAAAGCTTTCTCACCATTAAGTATGGTGTTAGCTATAGGCTTTTTGTAGGTAGTCTTTATCAATAGCCTATCAATATAAGTATAAATAAATAGTTCCCTTCTCTTCCTAGTTTACCAAGAGTTTTTAACATGAATTGGTGTTAGATTTTGTCAAATGTTTTTTTCTGTATCTATTGATATGATCATGTGATTATTCTTTTTAAATCTGTTGATGTGATGGATTGCATTAATTGATTTTTAAATGTTGGACCAGCCTTGCATAACTAAGATAAATTCACTTGGTTATGGCACATAATTCTTTTTATACTTTTTTGGATTAGATTTTCTAATATTTTATAGAGTACTTGTGCGCCTATGTTCATGAGAGATATTGGTCTGTAGTTTTCTTGTAATGTCTTTGTCTGGTATTGGTATCCGGATAATGCTGGCTTCATAGAATGAGTTAAGACATATTCTCTCTGCTTCTATCCTCTGAAAAGTTTGTAGAGAATTGATATAATTTCTTCCTTAAATATTTGGTAGAATTTGCCAGTGAACCCATTTGGAACTGGTTCTTTCTGTTTTGGAAGGTTATTTATTATTGATTCAATTTCTTTAATAGCTATAGCCCTATTCAGATTATCTATTTCTTCTCATGTGAGTTTTGGCAGATTGTGTCTTTCAAGGAATTGGTCTGTTTCACCTAGACTGTCAAATTTGTGGGCACAGAGTTATTCATAGTATTCCTTTATTATTCTTTTAATTTCCATGGAAGCTGTAGTGATGTCACCTCTTTCATTTCTGATAATAGTAACTTGTGTCTTCTCTCTTTTTTTCTCAGTTAGCCTGGCTAGAGGTTTACTGATTTTATTGGTCTTTTTAAAGAACCAGCTTTTGGTTTCATTGGCTTTTCTCTGTAGATTGCCTATTTTCCATTTCACTGATTTTTGCTCTAATTCTTATTTCTTTTCTTCTTCTTACTTTGGATTTAATTTGTTCTTCTTTTTCTAAGTTCCCAAGATGGAAACTTAGATTATTGATTTTAGATTTTTCTTCTTTTCTAATATATGCATTCAATTCTATAAATTTCCTTCAAGCACTGCTTTTGCTGCAAGATTCTTCTTTTTTAAGCCTGTATATTTATATCTCACAGTAAAATGAGATGGCAGAAAAATATGATCTGTAAAGGACAGATACATTTTAAGAAGATCTGTTTTTTAATGACTCATCTGTTTCAAATATTTGGTTTTTTTAACCTTTCAAATTTTTCTCCACTTTTCATTTTGAAAGTTTTTATAACTATAGGAAAGCTGTGGAAATATTTAACAATGAACATCTGGATAGCCTTCACTAGATTCCTAAATTATTACCATTTTGCCACATTTGCTTTATCTCTCCGCCCACATGTATAAATATTTTGCCAAGCCATTTGAGAATTACTTATAAAGATGGTTCGCCTCTAAAAACTTTAGCATGGACATCACCTCACACCTGTCAGAATGGCTAAAATCAACAACGCGAGAAATAAACAGGTGTTGGAAAGGATATGGAGAAAGAGGAACCCTCTTGAAATATTGGTGTGAATGCAAACTGGTGCAGCCACTCTGGCAAATAGTATGGAATTTCCTCAAAAAGTTAAAATTAGAATTACCCCAAGATCCAGGATTCACACCACTATGTATTTATCCAAAGAATACAAAAATACTAATTCAAAGGGATGCATATACTCCAATGTTCAAAGCAACATTATAATACCATAGCCAAATTATGGAAATAGCCCAAGTGCCCATATACTGATGCATGGATAAGGAAGAGATATTACTCAGCCATAAAAAATAACGAAATCTTGCCATTTGTGATGACATGGATGGAGCTAGAGAGTATTATGCTAAGCGAAATATGTCAGAGAAAAACAAATGCCATATGATTTCACTCTTATGTGGAATTTAATAAACAAAGCAAATGAACAAAGGGGGGGCAAAAAAAAAGAGAGGGAGGCAAACCAAGAAACAGACTCTTAATTATAGAGAACAATCTGATGGTTACC